CAGTATTGCTCTTCCCACATGCACTTGGCTCTCTGAATCAGGCCGAGGTTTTCTTTGGAGACATCAAGATGGGAGAACTGTTGTACACAGTCAGCTAACTGGGGGGCTGCCAACAGTGGTGTCAGCCTGACTGCCTCTGCAGAGGTCGGGTCTGGTGCTGGGGCGAGCTACCTTTACAAGCCAGCTCTGTCCTAGCTCTTGGTTGAGACAGAGAGACTGGGACACAGGCAGTACAGAGACCAGCACTGTTGCGGGTTCTCTGTCACCCAGCGGCTTTCACCCATCTCCATCCAGTAGCGTTTTGAAGCTGTAAAGAGTAAAATTAAGAGATGGCAAAAACTTACTTTGCTAGGCTTGTGTAAATGGTGAACTAGGAAGGATCTTTACAAACTCCAAGGAATTGTAGTGCAACAGTATCCTCCTTCAATCCTTCATTTTAGCCATAAGCCCTCAGTTCAAAAAAACGGAACATCATCTAGGGAATGCACCAACCCTTCCTACTTTTCCAAGACTCCTACAGAAATCACATTTTATGTTCAGAGCAACTTAGTCACTTCAGTGATTTGCTAAGAGGCAGAACTGAAGCAGGGAAAGGCAATGCATCTTGTCCTAGACTGTGAATGCCTTCAGCAGAAACAGAAATCAAGCTCAAATAACCTGGGTCTCAGTCCTGAAGTTTAACCATAAAGTACTCATCTTGCCTAGTGACAATTCAGGGTGGATTGGACAACATCTACCACTCCGAAACACTACGAGGCAGCACATCAGAAGAATTGCTGTGAAAGAGACAGGGGAGTCTCTGCATGCCACTGCCTGAATGGGTAAAGAGGGAGAAGAGCTGAAGAGATCTAAAATAATAGAAGCAGCAGCCTAACACATCTTTCTCTTCCTTCATTGTCTGCTGATAGTTGACAGGCCTTCCCTGCTCCTGAAGGAATGCAGAGACTCACTGTGTTATTTTGGCATTTCAAGGACCATCTCTCCATAAGACTGCCTTGCTGTGCAATTTCTGCCATAAGCAGAATAAGTCCTGCAGACCCTACAGACATCTCCCTTTCCCCTTGAGGGTTGAAATTTGAAACGATGGCTTATTCCTTTGTGCTGTGTATATGCAGGATTTTCTCAATATACATTTCCAGTAATGGGGATTCATTACAATCAAGGCCCAAGGAGCAGTCCATTAAGTGAGAAATTATGTCAATGAAACACCAAGTCCATCCTTACCTCTCTCTCCCATACAAACACAACTGGATTGAACTATTATGGTTTTCTCCAGGTCGTCATCAGTGCTACAGAAAACCATGCAGACCTAAGGACTAACTCCCAGAAAACAGTGACTCTGAGGTATGCAATACATCATACTTCAGGCTACATGAGGCTACTCTTCATGAGGCCAGTCAAGGCTCTGTGGTGACCTGAAGACTACCCAAACTTTAGACTAAACTTAGCAGTTCACTCATGACAGCAAAGAATTTTTGACTGCTGTCTAATCGCTCTGCTGAACTGACAAAGTTAGCTGTACCACACGGCTCAACCCCATCTGAGCCTCCCACTCTGACTGACAGAAATACCTGGAAGACTCCTTGCATGACTTTCAATGGAAACGTTACAGTTTCATCTCATTATCAATGTTCACAGTACAGATAAAGCCATTCTCCAAATTAACTTCTGGATGCATGGAGGACCATCTCATTACAGCTCAGTATCTCAGCCATGTTTCAGTCTATTTTGTTCCTTTTCATGCTGGTTGAAAGCACCAACTACAAGGGTAGGTAAAACTGTTGCCTTGAAAATCTCTAAGGTTGGTTACTGTGTGTGCTCCAAGGGAAAGGGAGTCATAACTGGATTACCTTTCTCTGTGAACAGTGTGGCATTTTTTTATATATTCCTTCCTTCCTTCCTCCCTCCCTTCACCCCCCAAACCAGAGAGATCACAAGACACCAGTATCAGCCATGCTGGGCTCCATGCCAGGAGAATTAATGAAGTGGTGTAATAGCTCACACGGAGGCCTAGTGATTGGCAACACACTTAAAATGCATCTGCAAGGCAGGAGATCATAGCATTGCTGCTGTGTTCTGTTTATTACAGGCACATCTCTTCCGTTCCATTGATTTCTTTATTAGCTTATTTTAAGGCCACAATGTGGGGGCTGGATCTGCTTGAAGCATGGAGGTTTGAATTCCAGCACAGCTTATGGGAAGGAAGTCTCCCTTTGAGACTCCAGATCTGGATGACAGAGCTTGGTGCTAAAAAGAACAGGAACCCTACCGAGAGGTTCCCAAGGAGTTTGAAAAATCCTACAGGGCAACTGAGACTGGGTTGGGAAAGGGAACAATTTTATCTAAAGAGGATAGAGGCTTTTTCGTAACTGCAGGGAGGACTTCATTCCAGAGCCCCATCTAACCTGATCTTTAATGTTTCCATGGACAGGGCATCCACCACCGCTCTGGGAAACCTGTTTCAGTATTTTACAACCCTCAGTGAAAAAAAACTTCTTCCTTATATCTAATCTGTAGTGACACTCTTGTAGTTCAAAACCTTCATCCTATCACAACAGGTCCTGCTAAAAAGCCTGTCCCCATCTTTTTTATAGGACAGCTCCCTTCCAGTACTGAAAGGTGGCAACAAGGTCTCCCTGGAGCCTTCTCCAGGCTGAACAATCCCAACTCTCTCAGTCTGTCCTCATAGGAGAAGTGTTACAGTCCTTCAATCATCTTTGTGGCCTCCTCTGGAGCTGTTCTAACAGGTTGACATCCTTCTTGTGCTGAGGACCCTGCAAAGCTGGATCCAGTGCTCCAGGTGGGGTCCCACCAGTGCAGAGTAGAGGGGTAGCATCACCTCCCTTGACCTGCTGGCTATGATTCTTTTGATGCAGCCCAGGGCAGGGTTGGCTTTCTGGGTTGCAAGTGCACTTTGCTGGGTCATGTCCAGCCTTTCATCCGTCAGTACCCCCAAGTCCTTCTCAGCAGGACTGCTCTGAATTCCTTCATCTCTCAGCCTGTATTGAAGATACTGGGTGTTTCCCTGATCCAGGTGTGGGACATTGTGAGCCTTGCCATCACAGCTCCTTGTTTTTCATCTGTGCTGCTAGGAGCTCAAATCTTGATTAAACATGGACAGGAGAAAATGGGTGGGTCCCAGTATACTCATCAACCAGCATTCTATCATACCATGAACTTCATATAATTTTGCTATCCATTATTCATGACTTGGAAAGCAGGGCCATATGGCCTAGGACTGAGAGGCAGTGGCTGAGCTGTAGAGGGAACCCCAATGGTTCCATGTCTACTCCAAACTGCCTTGGCCTAGAGCACGGACTGAAAAAGCATGGACTGTAATCAGCTGAGGATAGGGCTGAACTCATCAGATTCAGACTACCGAGGGCCAAAAAGAGTAACAGAATCATAGAATCAGCCAGGTAGGAAAGGACCTCTGAGATCATCAAGTCCAACCCTTAATCCACTACCACCATGGTTACTAGACCATGGCACTAAGTGCCACATCCAGTCTCATCTGAAAAACCTCCAGGGATGGAGGATCCACCACTTCCCTGGGCAGCCCATTCCAGTGCCTGATTACTCTCACTGTAAAGAATTTCTTCCTAATATCCAACCTAAACCTCCCCTGGCAGAACTTAAGACCATGCCCTCTTGTCTTACTGATAGTTGCCTGGGAGAAGAGACCAACCCCTACCTGACTACAACCTCCTTTCAGAGAGTTGTAGAGAGTGATGAGGTCTTCCCTGAGCCTCCTCTTCTCCATGCTAAACAGCCCCAGCTCCCTCAGCCTCTCATCATAAGACTTTGCTCGAGTCCCTTCACCAGCCTCGTTGCTCTTCTCTGGACCTGCTCCAGCACCTCAACATCTTTCCTGAACTGAGGGGCCCAGAACTGGACACAGTACTCAAGGTGTGGCCTCACCAGTACTGAGTACAGGGGAAGAATCACTTCCCTGGTCCTGCTGGTCACACTGTTCCTGATACAGGCCAGGATGCCATTGGCCTTCTTGGCCACCTGGGCACACTGCTGGCTCATGTTCAGCTTCCTGTCAATAGTCAGTTTTGTATGGCAGGAAGTGGAAATCTGCTGGTACTGTCTAGTTGCTGAGCTTGCTGTTATAACAAATTCAGACACAGCTAAAAGCTGACATAGTGGTGCCAGGCTGCAGCAGCTTGATGCAGGTGCTGCCCTTGCTACAGTTCATTGCTTCAGCCCCTGCACAGACAACAGGACACCATGCCACAGCACTGGGATGGGGTGGGACACAGTCCAGTGGTGCCCCTAGGGACAATGGTGATGAGAGGGCCTTCCCCTGAAGAGCATGTCCTGTCCCTAGCCAGGCACTCGGGCTTTGCTCAGCTGTCGGGGCTTACTGCCAGCTCCCTTGGAAAGTCCTACAAAGCTCTTGCTGGCAACTGAATTGCCACGGAAATGTCTTTAGATTGCCCCAGCAATATTCCTCCAAGCAGTCTCCTTTGTATGTTTATTCATGCTCTGCTTGTAATTGCAAAGGACCCTGCTTCCTCCCCCTCAGTCCTGCATGTCAGCTGAAACAAAGCAGTGTGGAGCATGAACAGGAAGAGCTGCATGCAAGCAGTCAGTCTAATCAGGACATGCAAGTTCCATTTAAGAACCTCTAGACTAATTTATTTTTTCACTCCCTAATATTTTCAAAGCCTCTTCTTACAATAGTAAGTTATCAAAAACTACATGGTCAGTAAATGCAAACATATATCAGCACATGCAGATGAATCCAAACCTGAAAGCCTTAATTTTTATATCCATATATGACACCTACAGTGGCCTGCTTTTCACTGTACAGCACTTAAGCCTCCTTCTTTTAGCTATCTGATACACTACATGCATATATAAACTTATTATCTTGCTGGGAAATACCAATGTAGTGCGTAGGTCTGCAGGTCTTTAGTGACCCTTACTATAGACAACTTCTGTGTCTGGAATCTGTCACTCATTTTTACAATATGCTTTGAGACACTCACCCACAACTGGTTTCTAACAAGCTGTCCCCAACCTGCAGCGATGCCATCCCGAAGTCTGCTATCCGAATATTGTTCTTTTCATCCAGCAGTAGGTTTTCTGGTTTTAAGTCCCTGTGGCTGTAAAGAGAGGATCAGAATGTGAGTTAAATTATCCACAACAGCTTTCCCACTCTGAAACTTGTTTTTTATCCAGAATAGCACCCAACCTGTTATATTTTAGTTGATTTAATTTTATTTCTAGTTCCAAGAGAACACACATATTCAAGATCCAATCTTTGCAGTATTCTAGACTGTATCCCAGATGCCCACTCCTGATGAATGCAATGCCTGCAGTGCCCTGACAGGAAATGAACATCTTCAACTTCCAGTGATACCAACATAGTATGAGGGAGAAATCGAGGGAAATAGGTGGGAGGAGAATTCCAGCTTGGATTTAGGGCTGATATACTCTGTAATATGCCAGCTCTTTAAGGTAGGAGGCAACACTATCAATATATTCTGTCAACAACATGAAACAAAATGTGTGATATCTAGAGAAAAAACATTATTGATGTAAATGCTACTGCAAAAAGCCCTTATTGGGAGTTGTTTGCATAGGCATATGGCTTTGAAATAATTTTGGGTAATTAGTTTTGATGGAGAACCCCCTTCAACACAGCACTGCTTATAACTGAGGGTGTCAGCGGTGGGAAGGAAAAGAGAGGATTCCCTCCCTTCCATCAAAGCTCCATTCTCTTATTATTTGGCAACACGAGAAGAGTCAGGCAGCCACAGTCTTCAGGATGGCTCTAAATCACAAGTATCATATATTGACTAATTTATTAATCTCCATTAGTCACAGTCAACACCACTGTGCTCCCATGTCTGCTTTTTAGTACTCGGGTGCTTTTGAACATTCACTTGATTTTATATCCAAAGATCTTGCACAAAATTTGTAACGACTTTGTTTTTTGTTTCTTTTTATTTGCAACTCTTGAAAAGTCACAGAGATGAGGGAAGCATTTGGGCCGACCAAAGAAAAAGCTCTTTTCTTGCTTTTGCTTACAAGAAGGCAAAATCAGTCTTTGATGTCTTGCTAATAAAAGGTCCAAACGGGAGCACTTGAACAGGCAGAACAGGCCAGCTTTGGTGGCTGGTCAGAACACAAACCTGTGGGAAAGGGAACAGCCAACAACACGTCCAAGTGTCAGGCTACATTCATTTGCAACAATGATTCAGTAGAAGCAGTTACTCTGATCCAAAACAACTCAGTGTCAGAATAGTCAAGTGACACCCATCATGGAAGGCAGCCTTATCTTCACTGCATTTCCTAAAGACATTCCTCTAGCATTCCTCATGCATGCAAGTGTAATTCTACCTCTATACCAGTGTAAAGGACAGTCACTACCCTCTCAGAGAAACATGAGCAGCATGACAATACCTTGGAAATTAGATCCTCTGATACGCAGAGACCTCTGTGGAATGATCAGTTAGAGACAACTTGTAAATAATGCAGGTCAGTTCTATGTAAAACCAGAGCACACTGTAATAGGACACCTGGGGACTGTAACAATTATTTCCAAAGGAGACTTCCAACAAAACAGTGCACATTCAAAACAGTTACTGGTCATTTACCTTATCACTGAGACCTATGACTCCTTCCCTCTCACTTTTTAAAATTTAGTCTCCAATCTTGTATAAACATGATAAACTCTGCATGTTAAAATGGTCTTGTTAACCATGGGCAAACGATCCTGTAGATAATGGAGCATCATGATTCAGATTTATGCATATTTTCAACTGAAAATCCCAAAAGTGCTTTATCAAATCTATCTTTCACACAGAAATCCCAGCTTTGAGGTAATTGGAGACAGAAGATGTATTAGCTTTAAACTATCAAGATAGGCATAACTGGTTGACAAAAAAATGCAGGAGATGCGTGACAAGGAAAGGTTTCAGAGTCAGTGAATGACCAGCTAATGGTCAGGAAAAGAACCCCTGAACGTCATCATCAAGGACAGCAGTCCTGGACAAAGGCAAGATCATCAACATATGCCAAAGTTTAATATATTCCAGCTCCAGCAGTGAAATGGAATGAAGAGCCCACAGTTCTAAGGCAAGCTAGGAAAGCTGGACACTAATGAGATAGTAATGCGTGATTTAAACTTTCCTCCAGCATACATCCTGGACAGTTCTCATCTTACAACTGCTTTCACTGATGGGGTACTGGGGAGACCTTATCCAACTGGGGCAAAGTGCTGAATTTTCCCTGTTTGAGGACCAGTGGTCAGGGGCCAGTAACAGCTCCCTGTAAAGTGAACGCTGTGCTCGTTTGATGCTATGAAACAAGAAATCTCCCCACAGCTCAAGCTCAGTGTGTCCCCTTCTACCATGCATAGTTTTTCAGTGACTATAGTTATTTTTCAGTGTTGGCAACTGCTCCTGTCTGACTGCTGAACTGATACAGGCTATAGAAGTTGAGGGTGCTGCTGCCTGTGCCTGTTCCACTGTTTGAGTACTGCATGATCTGATATGATTCATATATATATATATATATATATTCAGTCTGTAGCAGGCATACTGCTGACATGTGACTTTTGTATCTAAAAACTGAATGTTTCACTTATCCTAAAATTGTGCAGCTTATTTAGAGAGAAGAGAGAAAACATGTAGGAATCACCAAGGTGGAGCACGACCTAAGCACAGGACATCCACAAGAGTTTCTCCAGCCATAGATGCATGCTCACAACAAAACATCTTATTTCAGGAAAACAGTGCAGCTAAAGGAAATGCAAAAAAGCTCCCCTTCCATGATTCAAAGCTTCCAGCCTTGGTAGATCTGCCACAGGCCCTGGTTGGAACACAGTTTATGTGAATCTTGAACCAGATTCACTCCCAGACCACTGAGAGACAGTGAAAGGGAAGGGATGATGCCTTTGGAAATTAGTACAATATTCACTAGTGGAAAGGAGTCTCCTTCTTCCCATCTCATCCTGTCTTCCCATCAGCTGGGATCCACAACACAGTTTTAGGGAGAATCAAGTGGGAAAACGACGTTCCTGTAGAGTGGCATACATATTGTAGGGGTTTTTTTGAGAGCCATTCCAAGAAAGAGAGGAAAAAGGAGGTGCCACTATCCACATTCCAAACATGGAGTAAGCTTCACCTCACTGTGCTGTGGAAGGCTTTTCCATGAATGACCAGGCTACATGGGCTGATGGAGGTCTTTAAGGAGAGGTGCTGACCCACCTCCCAGCAAGCATTTTGAAAGCTTTAAGTTGGGACTGGGGGACTTGTGGTGAGATAGTATATGTGAAAAAAAAACTGGAGTACCAACAGACCTTAAGGTGCTTTTCTTTCTTTTCCTTCAGACACTCATCAAAATAAAGCCAAGAAAATTATCAGCCCTTCACTATAGAAATATTCACTTCACTGAGAAGAGAGGACAGTGTGGACTCCGTTGAGAATCATTACATTTATTGCTGCCTGGGCCCCAAAATACAAGAACTGTCATATACAGCAGTTTTGTATCTCTCTGACCCTTCTCCATCCCTCTTTCAACACAGTCCCTAATGTCCAGTATGGATGCTTAGCATAGGAATTTCACGGCAGCCTGAGCATGTTTTTTGTATTTTGGCAGTACCGTTCTCAGAGATCAGGGTGCCAGTGGGATTAGACAGTACTTGCACATTCAAACACAAGAGAATTGCATGCCCCAATGAAAATTTTCTTCTAGCTGGAACATTTCTCTGATATCCATCTTTGGACCGCTCTGAATTTGCCGAGGAAGCATCCTGGGGATAGAAGTCAGGCCAAGAGTTTGCACCAGAGTGGCAGAACCAGCATCACTGCCATTGGGAAAGAGACTTCCTCTCTGCATTTGCATTTCCCATCTTTGTATTGCCAGTTTTCCAAATGCCAAGGGGAAGGGAGAGGAACATATGGGAATAGGGAAGGCTTGTTATAATTTACCTAAGAGCCCAGCAGCCTGGACTGCCTAATGCATTCACATTTGAAAAGAATTCTCTTGTGCCAAAATGAAACAAAACAAAACAAAAATCCCACTGTATGTGGTAATTACTTGGCATTAATGGAACAGTGCAGAGTAAATGCATTTAATTTGGTCCCATTCCAGCTGATCTCTCTGGCTCTCCGTGTCTTATACGACCGCATCAACTCCTCTCTCTGCAGGTGAACAGAAGACTCGTTACCCTTTTGTTGTTCTAAAGGCTCTAAAGCTGTAGGAGCTTTATCACATGGCTGGAAAACCAGAAGAAAGCAGCTTCTTTACTGACAAACACAGCAAACTCTCCAATTGAGCCTTGCATATGCTGAGAAAGAATATGACTGAGAAATGCAGCACTGCAAAAGAAGTCAGTGTAAGCCTGATCCATAGTGGCCACAGACTCCCAGAGCTTCTCAACCAAGAAAAGAGCACAAGAGGATGGCCTCAGGAGCAGGCATCCAGCAGGCTTCTGAAGGGAAAGTGAATGAAAGAAAGGGAGCCACTAAACAAGCCATGACAGGGGAAGCACCCACTGTCAGACTCTCTGCAACATCCCCCTTTTAAAAGACACAACAAAGGCTTTACAATTTCCTTGCAGCATAAGATAGATACAAGAGAGCTCTGAAAAAATTGTCCCATGGAAATGCACCATTCTTGGAGATGGTGCATAGAAAATGAAAGGCACATATATGCATTAACATGTTCCAGTTTCCCACTTACACACTGGTCATGCCTGCTTTCTAGTTACTGCCAGAGATGCTATTCAGACAGCTCCCACAGTTCCCTCTGTTGCCATTCCAGTCCATCCTCCTGCTCTGGGAATATCCCTGTACTGAATGTCTGTACTGAAGCAACTGCAGTATACATAAAAAACAGAAGTAAAACAGTCTACTGTCACCCAGGGCTGGCAGAAGAATTTTAGTGTAGGGACAGACTCTAGATTTTGGATTCAGAGGAGCTATGTCACCTGGTATGAGATGATGAACTAAGCCATTATTTTGAAGTGATTTTTGAGCTGAAATGTTCATATTGGTTTCTATGACAACTCATTGTAGGTCACAGATTTCTAACCCAAGAAACCTCTTAATTGGAGTAGTTGCAGGTCATTTGTACTAATCAAATTGGTGGTTAC